GGGTATGTTCAAGTAAGCTAGATATGCCCAGATGCTGCGCAATTAGGCTTATTTAATATCATGATGAGTCTCGAGTTCAGTATTTACACTAAATCTGTGCAGATTTGGCTTACATGAACTTCCTCAAGAAATTAATTAGTAAACATAATTTACGAAAAGTAACCCGCCAAATATGCTAGTGATTTGACAGCGTTACCTGCCACAGCTGATTTTTACCCGCGGTTGGCGGGTGTTAATTTCAAACCCTGTATATATATATACTGTGTATGTATATATATATATATATATATATATATATATATTCACATAAATATTCTAAACTTAGCGCATAAATTATACATTTAGGTATAGATTTATTTAAGCATTATACATAAACTTTTATTTATGATTTATTTAGATTTGTTATTCAAACAAATAATTCATGTAAACATAATTTTATAAATAAATATGAAATTAATAGAAAATATCATGTGTTTATAATTTATGAATTCATATTTAAATTGTTTATGTGACTGTATGTTTACTTTTTTCAGCTATTGGAAAATCAATTTTTGCCTTTTTTTTTTTGACTGTTGTATTTTCCCTGTGCATTTTGTTTTCATTGATGCTCTTATTGAACTTTAGAGGTCACGGTGAATCAAAAGCAATCCAATTCCAGTTTGTTATCTCTGCTGTAGTATCCCGCTGTTATTCCTTGCTGTTTGGGTTAACAAAGGCATACTACATTAAAGAGATTGTGTGTAGTTTGTATTGGCTACATCTGTGAATCTTTGTATTTGTGTGTGTCGGATTTCTCATGCTGAGAGGTATTTCGGAGGTATTATCTCCCCCTGGTTCTCACAGCCTACCGCAGGATCCAGAGAGCAAAATAGCAAATCTTCCCATTATACCATAAGGGAGGTATTAATACGGCTGCTCTTATCTGTATTGGCTGCTTTTAAGTCTGGCTGGCCCTGATTGGCAGATCCAGGGTTGTTGTAAATGGTATGTTTGCAGTGACTCACAGGATGATATAAACACAAAGGCAAAATGACCTTAGATGGGGGTGGATAAGCATCTAGTATGGCATTTAGTGGAGGGCGTGTTTAGACTGCACTAATGTCACTGTTCACTGAACAGGACAGACAAAAGACAATTTTGCTGGTTACTTTTTTAGATATATATTTGAGCTGAATATTCTCATTATCATAACCTGTGTGTGGAGTCTAATTAGACAAACTAAGCATGAAACAAGATTTTCATATAGTAAATCTACCACTATGGTTTTAATCAGGGGCCGAGCTTAAGGGTAATTTCTCAAGAAACTGATATTTTTGCTGCTTTTTTGCTTACACAGTGCAGTATTTTAATCTAACATCTTGCTGTCGCCCATCAAGTAGTTATTATAGTGCCATAATCTCTAGTCATGGAGAATCAGTGAAATGAAGCGTGAAACGTTTTTTTTATACTACAGGGGAGGTCTTCTCTTCATTTGTTCATTTGGGGTGTCAGTGCAAATCTTAAGTTAATGGTTACGTATATAAGGTATTCAGCTTCAGCAGAGGTCGAAGGTTTTTGTTGGCATCATTTCAGCAGTACATCAGCAGTCATGGTGGATTGCTTGTGGAGAGTTAAGAGGCTTAAAGAGTATCTTTTATTAGTCCCTTTTGCTTCCAGACTACAACATCACTTGAGAATAAAAACTTGCAACATTTAGAGCCAGATGATTTTTGGTAAATTACAGAATGAAAATACTTCAGATTGATCCCTCATAGGCTGTTGTTCAAATGTGATGTCATGCGTTACGTTTTCCTTATGGAATTTGAGGGTTCAATGAAACAGTCAATGTTTACTAGGAAATACACCAATCGCTTTATAAAGTTTGTAAATTAAAGCTACAGAGTACAAGGTTTGGTGAACTTTCTACACTTTAAACTCCCATTAGTTCTTCTAGCGTTTAAGAATAATAGTGTGTATATATTTATTATATATCCTATTCTCTCCATATTGCCCCACCATGGCTGGGTGAGGCCACATTTCTGAACACCCACATCATTGATGTATAAGTGTAGCCTGTCAGACATTATTTTCAGTATTGGTAAAGTAAGAGGTTCAAGAATTTTAAACCAAACAATTTTAAAAGTTTAATTTTAATAAATTGGCTCTTTTTTTTTTTTTGGAGGGAGTTCTGAAAGTTGCAGCACATGCAATTATCCCTTATCTCTAAAGATATGGGAAAATTTGATTCTTCATGAAAAGACCCCTTTGAGAACCCTGATAATGACTAGTCCAGTCTTCCCACAGTCACTCAAAAAGTATCAGGGAAAAGTATTCTGGAATAAGTCTTTGATCATGGTAAAGTTATTGAATTATATTGAGTGAATTATCAATTTTCCTATTTTTCACACTCTGCTATAAAATATTTTTTAGAGATAAAGATATATCTGCCAGATAGTCTGTTGCTCTTGTTTAGTATAAAACTTGCTTCGCAATGATGCAACGATGTACCATTTGTGAGCAAGTTGCTCTTTTGAGTCAGTTCTTTTCAATTAATTTGTCAAACTGGTTCACAAACTGGTCTAAATGATTCATTAATGAACCCTTCTCAGTCAAAAGGATTTTGGAAAAACCTTCATCCAGTAATCACGAATGACTGGACATTTGTTGGAAATGACACAGGAATTAAATGCTCAGTTTGTAACAGTTCATATCAGCGATGCCATCCTTTATGCTAATATTTTCATTTGACAGTGTAAGTTCTGAACCACCACAGTGTCATTAGAGATGGTCACTGGTCCACAAACCACTGACTGATCTGCATCATTATCCTGTGAGTGCTGACTCTGGCCGCTTTTTTCTATTGCATTATTAAAAGTCATTAGTGTCTTTCACTGGTCAGCTGCACTTCACCTCTGTAACTACTGGATAAAGGGGTAACGGGAGGGGGAGTCTGCTATTACTAGACCAACTAGTGTTCACAGAGGGACAGTTGTGTCACTCATGTCCTATCTGGCCCTTGTCTGCTGTCCCCTAGGTCCTGCGCGGGGGGGATCAGGCCTGTTAGTCTGATGCTGTTAATTACTGATCCTTAATTACTTTGCTTCTCAAAGAAGCCCTGAGGGATATGGGCCGTAAAAACTGTAACACTGATGGAATCATCCAGGCTGTCCAAGGTCATTTGTTTTGAGGACAGCTGTAAAATCCAGCCTACTTGCTTTTGTGATATGAATGTGTTGTTTATCCATGTGTGGAATTAAACCAGCTGATCATATGCAATTCAATACAGATGCCTGTTATGAGACACAAGTGACATTTATGCATGCTTTCAGATTTAGTGTTGATTTATTGTTGCATTTGGTCCAAATGGAAAGCTGTTAAGTATGAGTGTTAAGACAGATGTTTTAAAAGTTAAATATAGTTTGAACTTCGGTAGTAAAAATGGCACTAAAGACTGGCGGCTTTGCCATCACAGGAATAAATCGCATTTTAAAATACATTAAAATAGAAAACTGTCAAGTTGTTACTGTTAAATAAATGTACAGTAGCCTTGGTGAGCAAAAGATTTCTTAACAAACTTTTAAATATTTCAGTAAAATGTTGTAGTATAAGTAGTACTACTTATTGATATATTCCCTAGTGAAAATAAATGTACAAAAATGTTTAAAATACATTTATTTCATGCTAAGTATACTGCAATACATTTACATATTATGTTCTTAATAAAAAATACCCTGCATTTGTACATTTAGTATACTAAACTGGTGTATTTAAAGTCTGCTCAACTGATTTTGTACTTAACGCACTTTAATTGTGCGGAAGTAGTGTTGAAGTCCAAATAAAGATATACTTAAGTATATTTTACTGTGCTAAAGTGGAACTATTGCAAGTACTTTAGGTACACTTTATATGCAAAATCTTTAAAGATCATACAATCCTCATCATTAGTGACATTAAAACATATTTTAGGCTTAATATTAAAAAATGTGCATTGTGCATAAGTAGTACTCCAAATAAAGTTTAATTACAATTTTCATATCAGCAAGTCTCGAGCGATATGT